CCCCAGGAGGCTTATGGATCCGAATGGATTCCTGACGGCTCTTGGGGAATTTCCCACCACCTCGGTTGGTGATCCTGTTGATGCTCTGGTCGCTCTCTGGAATGGGGAGATGACTAGGGCAATAGACATGATCGCTCCAGAACGTCCCCTCTCAAGTAGCCGAGCTAAACCAGCCCCTTGGTTTACCGAGGAGCTGGCAGCGTTGAAGCGAAAGAAGAGGGAACTAGAGAGCGTGTGGCGTCTTTCTCACCGTATGACATAGGTGCCCGATGCGCGTATCCCGGATCGAGCGAGCAAACCGAACACGAGTATTGTGTCCTTGTATTTAACGGCTCATACGCCGCAGGCAATTAAAAGCCGCAAAGAAAGGCCATTCTCTTTGCGGCCAAATGCGTACTACGAAAGAACCGTACCAGGCTGTAACTAGTTAAGAGTTGTCAGAGGCCACTGTTATAAAACCCACCCTAAACATATCAGTAGAATGAGAGCCCTGATGACTCTGAGCCCCAGACTCGCTGCTGAAGCCTTTGCTCAGTTTCTTTGCAGCACAAGGTCGCTTGGAAATTCTCGTCATAGCGAGTCTGCCAGGACACCATATTAAAAGGCAGTACTCTAGCAGGATTTGTGACACGAGCATTGCTTGTGCCAAATTTGATGGATTCATTTACAAGTGGGCATTCACACGAGGATCAGGCGGAGCACGCTCTGGGCCGACAAGTGTGGACAAGATATGAAGAGCTACCACATGCATCCTAGACCCCTGCCCATCCTGGCTTTAAAGGAGGCCAGAGGGGGATTGGCCGAGGGGGTGAAGGTGGTGTTTAATGCCTCCCGTCGGGAGGGCAAAATTCCAGCCAGCTTAAAGCAAGCTGTGATAAAACCGCTGTTGAAAAAACCATCACTGGACCCCACTCAATTCGTCAACTATCGGCCTGTTTCCAATCTCCCCTTCTTGGGAAAAGTCCTGGAACGTGTGGTGGCCTCACAACTCCAGGCATTCTTGGTAGACACGGATTATCTGGACCCGGCACAGTCTGGCTTTAGGCCGGGGCATGGTACCGAGACAGCCTTGGTCGCCTTAGTGGATGATCTGCGTCGGGAGCTCGACAGGGGGAGTGTGTCCCTGTTGGTGCTGCTGGACCTCTCAGCGGCCTTCGATACCGTCGACCACGGTATCCTTCTGGGACGCCTCGCGGGGATGGGTCTTGGAGGTACTGTTTTGCAGTGGCTCCGCACATTCCTCGAGGGTCGGTCCCAGAAGGTGTTACTGGGAGACTCCTGTTCAACCCCACAACCATTGTACTGTGGGGTCCCGCAGGGTTCAGTACTGTCCCCTATGTTGTTTAACATATACATGAAGCTGTTGGGAGAGATCATCCGGAGTTTTGGGGTGCGGTGTCATCTATACGCAGATGATGTCCAACTCCGTCCCACCTGCTACTAAGGAGGCTGTTCAAGTCCTGAACCGGTGCTTGGCCGCTGTAATGGACTGGATGAGGGCTAACAGATTGAAACTAAATCCAGACAAGACAGAGGTACTCCTGGTCAGTCGAAAGGCCGAACAGGGCATAGGGTTACAGCCTGTGCTGGACGGGGTTACACTCCCCCTGAAGGTGCAGGTTCGCAGTTTGGGAGTGATCCTGGACTCATCGCTGAGCCTGGAACCCCAGGTCTCGGCGGTGGTCAGGGGAGCTTTTGCACAATTAAAACTTGTGCACCAGCTGCGCCCGTACCTTGGGAAGTCTGACTTGAGCCACTGGTAACAACCATGGTAAGTCCCATGCTCCTGGCTTAGCATCTACGCCTGGTACTACCTGCCAATCGTCCTCTCTAACGTTGGTGGTTGCCTAACATTGAAGACAGGCTCGGAAGAAATCCAACTAGCTCCAACGAGAGCCGGCAGACCATATGCTAATAACAGGAGCCCAGCGGCGCAGAGCGAGCATAAACTCTCTGCACCTGCCTAACCAAGCTCCACTGGCCTGGCCGATTAGCTGACCGGACACCACAATTCAAAGTGGCCTCGCCATTATCGCCCTTATAAAGACCCTCATACAAACAGGTCTCTGCGCCAAACATAAATCATATGCGAACGTATATCCTAAAGCTATCAGCACCCACATGGACCCTAAGATCTTACTGACGAGGAGGATGTCCCCTCATGCTACTCTATCCACTCTCCGCGTACAGAAGTGCGGCTGGGCCTGGGATCTACGAGAGACAGCGCCTTCTCGTGGTGGCCCTCGGATTTCGAGAATGACCTCCCCTATAGAGATAGATCAGCTCCCTTCGCTGCTTGGCGATTCATGAAAAACCTACTAAGAACAAATAACACTTTGAGACAGCAAAATAACACAACTGAAATAACAAGGACTGGTAATTATTGACGATGAATTCGGATTATGATTTTAATTAAGAGATGCATTGGTCGGTATTGGTGGCCCGATACTGTGTACTGTATATGTTTTTTATGCTTTTAAATTGTTTGATTATTGTTGTTTTTAAGTACTGTTAACCGCAATGAGTCGCCGTTGTAGGCTGAGATATTGCGGTATATAAGCATACAAAATAAATAAAATAAATAAATAAATAAATAAATAAATTAAGGTGCGTTTGATTTTTTTCGATTTATTTGTGCAAAATATAGCATACTTCCCTGTCCGAGATATTGTAAAAAGGGGAAAGGATGTATACTTATACATTTTGATTGATAAATAAATAAATAAAGAAGAAACTACTTCGTTCTGATAATGGTGGCAAAGAAGAATTTATTTGTTACTTTTAGCATATCCTTATAGTGTTGCCCTAAATATTGCTTTAAGTAGGTCATGATCTTATACAGGCTGATCAAATATCTCATTTTATACTCTTATTTGTTTGCTATAATTGCTTTGTAGTAAAAGTCAATGATAATGTTGCTCAGATTCCTAACAATTTGTACTCCATAGGTAATCAACACCAGATAGTGAAAATGTTATTGTAGTGTGTCTTGGTAGAACTATATAGCGGATAGATTTCAGATGTACTTAGATGGAGTGCTTGATTTCATCCATAGCACACCTATCTGTGCTATTAATCCTGCTCTTGTTGCCTGATTACAATCAGTAGATCCAGTTTGAGAAATTTAACCCATGCTAAGGGATGACAAGAAAGGGTATTTCTGGCAGCCTGGATGAAGATGGGACAGATCCCGAGAACCTTAATTATCTTAGAGCAATGGTGACCAGTATCTGAAGATAACTGAAGAAATGGGTTTTAGTGAACTTTGGATACTTTTGCATGATACCATCTTCAGCCACTTAAATTGAGTTTTAGACCAACTTATTTAAACTGCCTTGGTCACCCTGTGTGATGATGTCTCCCAGGAAAAGGATGACAGGAATACATCCCAATTGGTTGTACAATGCCTCTCAGACAATTGAATACCATAGATCATGGCATCTTTCTGAAAAGACATTGTTAAATTCAAGTCAGATGGAATCTACAATAATTCCATTCATAGTTGAACATTTGACTCCAAAGACTGGTGCTAGGAGTCTGTTACTCTGACCAGTGTAAACTCCATTGTGTCTCTTGGGCTATGTTAACATTGGACCAGTTATTCCGAGCTATTTCTGACCTGGATCAAGTACCATGCAGCTGCATCTAGGCCAGTGACATCACTAGATGGCCCAGCCCATCCCTGAGTTGATCCATATCCATGTTATTGCTACTACTCCCCACTAACCATGATGTTCCCTGCAAGCAAACTCCCTCCTCCTAGATCAGGGGTTCTCAAACTTTTAAAGCTGCAGAGACCTTTTCAAAGGAAAAGTTTATCGTGGAGCCCCAAGAAACTTTTGGACACAGGGGCCCCATTGCATTTTAAAATTTCACAGATGGGCCAGGACAGTGGCAGATGGATGGAAAATGTTTGTGTGAACTAAATGAAAAAAAGCAATTTCTATGCATACTGTGCATATCTTGTTTGTAGTGCAAAAAGAAAGAAAGAACAATAAAACATAAACTTAACAATATTTCAGTGGAAGACCCCAGGGGCTATAATAATAATAATAATAATAATAATAATAATAATAATAATAATAATAGAAGCAACCCCAGGAGCCACCCAGTCTAACCTGTTTCTGCTATGCAGTAAAAACACAAATCAAAGCACTTTGAAATAATAATAGTAATAGTAACAACAACAACAACAACAACAGCAGCAGCAGCAACTTCAGGGACCACCCAGTCCAACTTGTTTCTTCTCTGCAGTAAAAGCACAAATCAAAGCACCCCCAACAGATGACTGTCCAGCCTTTGAAATAATATTAGTATTAGTAGTAATTATAACAACAACAACAACAAAACAACAGGAGCAACTCCAGGGGGCACCCAGTCCAACCTGTTTGTACCATGCAGGAAAAGCACAATCAAAGCTGTGGCGGGGAGGCTTTACAAGCCATTGTGGTGGCAGGAAGGCCCCACAGGCTGCGTCTAAGGGCTCCACCGAGGACAGTTTGAGAACCGCTGTCCTAAATGGTTGCATGGACATCCCACACTGACATCATCTTCGGGCATCAATTCTGTCTCCCCTAACATTTCAATAAAACCACTAACATCAATATGAGTATGATATTCATCTTTGTCTTTCATTTTAATAAAATGCAGCTGAAGAACCACCTATTTTGGACATGCTTGATAATGGGCTGCATGGTAGCTAATAAAATGATTCATTTCAGGCAATAGGAAAGTGCTGCTAATACTTTGTCTGCCTGGTTAACAGATACATTATCTACTCTAGTTGGGCAACATTTTCCTGGAAGTAGCAGTCATATTTTGCAGATATTCAGAGACGCAGCTGTCTCACATGAGGTCCAAGTGGAACATTAGTGAAAAACCTTACTTTACATAAGATTGCACTATACATTTCCAAATTGCACTGTCAACCTACATACATATTTGATCAGAAAATACACTTTGTTGGCAACAAGAAAAAAAAACAACAAGATTTAGCTTACCAAAGTTGCAAGAATATAGTGGTATCCTTTCCCATTATTTTCAATCTTGACAATCTGCAGTGGTGAAACACATAATATTTAATTAAACATCCCAATTTAACAGTAAATTGAAGACAATTTACAACACAGTCACATCTCAGCTAATAAATATTTGTACAACATTTTGCACATTAGCACTGTTTGTCCTCCACCCAGCTGGAATATTTTTAGCAGCACCAGAACTGTGTAGATAGTAAAGGAAGGCTGAAGAAACACAGTTTTTCAGTTTCGTGTTGTAGCAATTTGTCTGCAGAAAACAATGCCATAAAATTGAGCTAAGAAAGAGAAGGATTCAGCTCTAGTTGACCCTACTGTAGCTGTATGTGCCTGCTTACAAGAGTAAAGGTAAAGAGATGCTGCTTCCAGAATATCTTACTAAACATGTGTGAAGGGCAAACCAGAGAGAAACAGGGATATTAGCTAAGTGTTCTTCACGAGCTACTCTGGCATGTTAAAAGAAATCATATTGCACTTTACTCATTTGCTCTATCCTTTAATGCTGTGGCACCAGATTGCCTACCCAAGACAAGACATTGAACTTTGCTATTGATTGTTGGTTTTGATGTTTGTTTTATACCCTGTTTAATATTGTTTTTATTTTGTTATATTGCTTTTGTTATTATTTTGTTGATATGCATTTTAATGTGTTATGTTTAAACAGTTCTATTGGTTTTGGCCCTGTGTAAGCTGCCCCGAGTCCCTTCAGGGAGATGGAGGCGGGGTTTAAAAATAAAGTTATCATCATCATCATCATCATCATCATCATCAGATCTGGTCACCAAAATGGGAATCACTCAGTCCTGTGTATTTAATATGTATATTTTATAGAACTACATTTATAGAATTTTTGCAATATTTGTGTTTTTTGACTGTGCTGTTACATTCCTCAGGCCACGAGGAGAGGCAGATTAAGAAATAAAATTATTATTCAGTTCTTGTGGGGTTTTTCGGGCTATATGGCCATGTTCTAGAGGCATTTCTCCTGACGTTTCGCCTGCATCTATGGCAAGCATCCTCAGAGGTGAGGTCTGCTGGAGCTGGGAAAAAAGGGGTTTATATATCTGTGGAATAAACCCTTTTTTTCCCAGCTCCAGCAGACCTCACCTCTGAGGATGCTTGCCATAGATGCAGGCGAAACGTCAGGAGAAATGCCTCTAGAACATGGCCATATAGCCCGAAAAACCCCACAAGAACTGAGTGATTCCAGCCATGAAAGCCTTCGACAAAATTATTATTATTATTATTATTATTATTATTATTATTATTATTATTAATTTTTTAAAAAATATATATAAATTAAGTCATACCTGGCCTGCTGGCTTTGTTTCACAAGTTTTATTTGTTTTGCCTAAAATGTTTGATAAAATCACATTGAACTGCTTTTCTTTTTTGATGTGTAGGAACTATTTCTATTTCCCCACATGTTTTTTTTTTACCTTTGATACCAAACTTTCTGTTAAAGAAGTACTGTTCGGGAACTTTGTTAACTGAGGTAGGCTTGTAGATCTTCTACCTTTGTATCTCCTACCTTAAAGGTCTAAAGGGCACCAACCATTCCAGCACCAAATCAAAATACGTATTCTTAATTAAAATCTTTGGAACCTAATTGATACTATCCAATTTGCATTGCAATGGTTTACATTTTTAAATTGTTTTTTACTGGCTATACATTGCTTTATGTATTCAATGGTTTTACATCTTTATGCTGTTTCAAAATGGTTTATTGTTTTGCTATTCTACACCTGAAGGACATACATATTTTAAAACAATAATAAATATATCACCATTATTTTGCTCTTCATTTTACAACTAAAGAAATGCATTGAAACTTCAAGATACAACTTTCAAATTCAAGGTAGAAGAAAATCTCAGACACCTTGGTTGTGAGCAGAATGAGCAAGTAACATTTCAAATAAATGCAGTGGCTTTATTCCAAAAAAGAGTATGAAAACACATTATACTTTAGTCCTGTCACACACAAATGTCTACCAAATTTACACATTATTTTTCTCAAAAGCAAAGGAGATCATGAACACCATGACTGATGGGAAATGTTTGCTGCCACGTCTCCCAACACTGTTTGCATATTTAGCCAGAGAGTAGAAATCAAGAGGCTGAATGGGTTGCCCTTTCAATTTCACAGCTTTTGATGCACTGCCTGAAGTGTGACAAGCAGTTTTCACATGGAGTGACCTGTGTGAACTCCTAGAGTTATCTGAGGCTTACAGATGGCAATAAGGGATGTGTCTCTGTCTGTCTCACATGACAACAGAGACAGGTGAAAACAGAAGCATGAGTCACGTGTACTGGAAAATCCACTCTTACAACATTAGAACTGCTTTAGTGAATCAGATCAAGGTCCACCCAATGTCTTGTAGAGCTTGGAACCGCTGGCGAGCATGATGGCTGGGGATTTTAAGTATTGTAGGTTTGTTTTTTAATGATATTTTCCCAAGCTCCAGTATTAGGCCCATCATTTTTCTTTCATTTGCATCCAACAAATGATTCTGACAGCAATTATAATTCAAACATTATAATTCAAACATTTACTCTGTTAATATATCCAACATTCAGAATGAGACTGCCTCTGGACATGGATGGTCAATTGCTTTGAGAGATCATGTTGTCATGCATTAAAGTCATTTTTGGAAAAGATTTTCTTGGCAAACTTTGTTCATAGCTGATTTGTTTTTGCCATCCTCTGAAGCTGAGAGAGTACGGTTTGATCAAGGTTGTCCAGTGGATTTCCATGGCTGAACAGGGATTCAAACCATGGCCTCCACACTCACAGTCCATGGCTCAAAGTACTACACCACAGTAACCCAAGTGTCATCATCAGTGAAAACTACAACATTTTTTTCTAATGCCTTTTCTACCAAAGGCAGAACATCAAACATATACAAAGACACAGGCAATAAAACATAACACTATAAATAATATATATAAAATCCTCTAAGATGTTTCCCTCCTACCACCAAAACATGTGACGCCTCAAAAGAAAAATTGCCAAAATCTTAATCAAAACTTACCCCATACTTTTCTATTTGCATTTTGTAAATCTCAGAAGCCTCCCAAAGTCAGTTTCATTTTCAGCAAAAGGAAGCCAAGCAAAGCCAAAAAGGCTGCCTTTCCTCTTTAAATTAATGGCCTCTTACCATGAGGCAAGAGAAGCAACAGGGAGAAAGAAAATGAGATAGCACAGAAGGTTTGGGAAGGTGAGGAGTCCTATGCCAGAGAATTAAAAAGGCCCTGCCTTAAACTACATTTCCAAGAATTCTGTTCAGCATCAAAAAGCCCCAATCAGGATAGGGGAAAGCTATTTTTCCTCTGTAGCAGCAGCCAGCCAGAGTGCCAATAAATTATTGTATCTGCAAAGAGAGGGGCTGACTGATATTTCTAATTAGTAAATATCTGTGCTGTACTGGGAGGAAATCCCTAAATAGAAGCTCGATTGGTTAATATGAGAGACATTCAATGAGAGAGCTGTTGTGGCTTTTTATATATATATACATATAAACATGTATTTATTTATTTTTAAACTAAAATTCATGCATTCAGTAGATGCAGGAATATTTCTGAAAGTTGGGGAAAATGATTCCCTGTTATCTTTTGTATAGAAAATTCAAGGAGATAGCTCTTATACTTTTGTTTTTTTTTTAAAAAAATGTTCTTTATAACAACTTTGAAAATTTTCCAAAATTTGTGGAGAAGTGAAATGTTCTAAAATGTCCAGACTTGATCTTTGTCGCGAGATTTAGAGGCTCCCAAGATGGCTGCTGTGGAACTTCTGCTGGAAACTTAGACTTAAAAAAAACAAACCCTCAAAATGCGGATGTGTGGATATGTGGAAAATCATTGCAGCGAATCACTGCAAAAGTTCAATTCTTTGTCTTGGCCAGAAAAATGGTATCCTCCAGACATTTCATGAAGTTTCTAGCACACAAACAAAGTTTTTGGCTTCTACTCAAGTGTCATCTTTTTAGGAACCAACATTTTTTTAGGAGCAAACATCTAAAACCCAGAAATAAAACCAGATAAAAAAATTAGTGATTTCTGATTGCAGGGACATACAGACATGCAATGATCTGCATATCTGACTCAGAACATATTCCCACACCTGGAAATCTTGCGGTTTTTGCCTTTTATACCAGTTGCTTCTGGGTTTACAGGGAATGGTATCTGGCCACCCTCCTGTATGCGGCAGAAGCTGCTGCTATGAAGGTACTCTCTGGACGGGCACCAAGATTCCCTGGTGGTCTATAATATAAAATGGTTCCCTTTCCTTAGCCAAAGGGGCAGACAAAATGGCTGTCACAAATCAGGAAGGGTTTTCTTAAACTTCCCCCTCATAAAACTAACATAAAAATGGCTACTCTCAAGCTGTGGGTGAGTAAGTCTAACAAAAGAAAGGGGAACGTATACAGTTCCAGTACAATGAAAAAGTAACAAAATTTAATTACTCTCATTATTATATTCATATCATATTATATTTAATTACTTATTAATCACCCTCCATCCAAGAATGCTCTAGGCGATTTACAGCTGAGTTGTAAAAGATAAAATACATACATACAGAAATTAAAAATTAACAGAGATCAAATGCTCTAATAAAAAGCCAGGTCTTAAGTGCTAGAGTAAAAGGCCCTAAGTCATGCATGGCTCTCATGTAGGGTAGCAAGGAATTCCACAAGGCAGGGGCAGAAATAGAAAAAGCCCTGCGTCTGGTACTTTCCAAGTGCACTTCTCTAGGACCCGGTATATAGAGTAAGTCGCGTTGGGCTGGTCGTTGCGACCTCCGATGATGGGAGAAGGAGAGGCGGTTCCTAAGGATAGTGATGAAAGTTTACTAACCATACTTTAGAAACACTTTAGAAATGAAATGCCAACACCCCCTAATTTTGCAATGAATTTTGAAACGTTTTTTATCGATCGCACATGCCTAATATTTATCCGTCTTAATATTTTTTTTCTTTAAGGCTTTAGGGTGTGCAACTAAGCTTGCAATACACCTGAGA